AAATGATACATGTTAATGTGCTTGAAGTACAGAGGCCCTCAGTGAGTTTTAGCTACTGTTACTTCTCTCTGTGTCTCTCATTTTCTGTAGGAAAATGAGTTGAGCTGCCATATGTGTGTTTCCTTCCAGCTCTAAATCTCCAAGGTTTAAAATAATAATTTGACCCCTTCACACACATACATCTGCTCTGATTTAGAACGTACGTCTACTGTGGTAGAATTCTGAATCAGAAATAATCAACATTTACTGACCACTTCTTTAATGCCAGATACTATGCAAAGGGCTTTACATACATTATCTCATTTAATCATCACAACAAGCTCTTTGAGATGTAGTTCTAATTATAATACCCATTTTACAGAAGTACCAGACCTAGGGAAGTTAAGTAACTTATCCAAGAGCACACTGCTAGTAAACGCTAAGCCTGGTAAGTCTGACCCCGTGGTGCGTGCTCTTGATGTTTACTTGACAGAAGACAGCAGCTTTGGGCAGAGGGAAAAGTTGGGCTGCAGTGCACTCACACATGCAACCTCAGCCAGTAGGAAGGGGAGCTCTGGAGCTGTGATGGCCAAGCAAAGCAGACCTAAATTAGGGCAGGAGATGGGCTTTTATTCCCCTTCATCAACCAGTCACTGGACTTTCGCTGCCCACTGGAAAAGGGAGAGGCAATGGGGAGAGGTGGCTTTCTTTGCACAACACTCAGCAGCTGGAAAAGTGCCTGCTGAAGTCCTGGAGAGGGGGATCTGGGTGGTGTACCAAAGCATTCACTACAGGACCCAACTCTCCTTACTACATAGACATCTGATAGACAGGGCTCTAACTCTAACCACCCAAGGAACAAATCCCATTTCATTTGATGTGACCTTTCCATCACAATACTTTACAAAGAATGTGGGTGCCAAGCACGTGGGTTAGTTAGGGGAGTAAGGTCACGCTAGACCTAAAAGAGACACTGCTCAACAAGGAACTTCCTTCAGGAGATGGTACCTGAATTGATGGGGAGTGGTGGGGATGGCTGATTATTCCGGGTGGAATAGCCAGTAAGGCCTGGGGGACAGAAACTACAACATCCTGTTTTCAGAAACTGTATAGGGCCGACCCCGTGGCGCACTAGGGAGAGTGCAGCGCTGGGAGCGCAGCGACGCTCCTGCCACGGGTTCGGATCCTATATAGGAATGGCCAGTGTGCTCACTGGCTGAGCGCGGTGCGGGCGACACCACACCAAAGGTTGCGATCCCCTTACCAATCACGAAAAAGACAAAAAAAAAACCCAAAAACCAAAACTATAGAATGGCCTGTGATGATTAATGCTAGTAGTTGACTAGATTAAAGAATACCTAGAAACCTGATAAAGCATTGTTTGGGGGTGTGTCTGTTA